ATTATTGTTGCTGGTAGAGTCCTTGGTGTGAAAAACTAAAAGTGTAAATAAGGATCAAAATGTATAACTGATCTTTTTTAATAGGAAGAAAAGGTCTAAAAGAGTAGGAGAAGTGGGAGGAGTAAGGGAAAGGTAAAAAGGGAAAAGAAAAAAATATTAGAAAAGGAAAAACACAAAAACAATGTCTTTGTAAACAGGGAAGGGTGGAGGGAGTGAAGGGAGGGCTGGGAATGGGGAAAAAAAGATAAGAACCAAGGTAAATCATGTAATGGTACAAGATCCCAATGATGAATGTAACTATATTGTATACCTAAAATGTACCAATAAATAAAAAAAAAAAAGAAAAAAAGAAAACCCCTTGAATTGGTTACATAATTGGGCTTATTCAAACTAGTTCTTTTTACTAAAAAAAGATTTTCAAACTTGCTCCCATATATGAATCACATGGGAGCCTTTAAAAGTCCTGATGTACAGATGCCCATACAGGCAATTGAGTCAGAATTCAGCGAGGCATAGTAAGCACGTGCCTGTGATCCTCACATCCTGGGAGACTGAGGCAAGAAGAATATTATTTCAAGCCCAGTCTGGACAATTTAGCAACATAATGAGACTGAGTCACACACAAAAAAAATATATGTTGGGAATATAGTTTAGTGTGAAGGTCCTAGGTTCATGTACTATTACCAAAACAAAACAACTAAATAAAAATAAAATCAGAAGAATCTCTGTGGACAAGTCCTGGGAATAAGACCCTATGCTAGAAACTCTATTGAGATTCACGCTGGACTCCTTTGTACCTCAGGTTCCTCAACAGTAAACTTAAGAAGATAATTTGAGGTAAAAATAGATTCATTCAGGTACAATGCCCTAGACTATCAGGGGAACAGCATGGGCTTTGGTGGGTCAACATTTTAAAGACAAAAATGCAATGAAAGTAATATGTTTAAAATATAATGATGCTAATTTGGTACTAAGTGACTCAAACTTTACCTCAATTCCTAGAATGGTCAAGATATATCACTGCCTATTCCATTCCTATATGTCCCCAAACTCCATGGTTCTCCACTAGCTATCCAGTAAGGCAAATAAATTAAGCATGCCTCTGGCTCATTGTTACCATCCACGACAGACCTGGCTTGTGATCCTTGCAGGCCAAGGACTCTGAGGAGCAGGACAGGGTCTGTATCCAGAATGTATTAAAAATAAATGAGCACTCAGAAGAGGCCTCTGGAATGAGGTTGAAATAAGTGGCTTGTGCTGACTCGATTTTTCAATTCTATCGCCTCAGGCTCTATTTTCTTTTTTATAAGAGGCCACCTTTTCAATTTCTAGTGTGCCAGGTAGAAAGGTCATGATATCAGTGATAGAGAAAATTAGAACTAATGAGTGCACAGGAAGAGCTTTCTGCTGACTTCCTCAGGGTTCACATAATTATTATTACTTTTCTTTCCCTTAGGGGGCATCCTTTTGTGTTGCTCAGATATAATTTGATTGCCAAATGCAAAATGTCTTATTAAATGGGTATCCTTTTAAATAACTAATTTATTTATTTGGATGGCTTTATCTTTTGTGTTTTGCACTTGGAGACCTAAACAGATACTTTTTTTTTCTGTTGTGAGACAAAGAAATTAAGCACTTTTCTGATTTAGCTGCTATGTAAAAATAATTTCAAAAGTAAAGTACTCAGCTTTTACACCAAGTTCTTGTTTTTATTTTGAGACCAGATCTTGCTAAGTCACTACATTATCCAGGCTGGGCTCAATTTTGCGATTCTCCTGCCTCAGACTTCTAGAGTGCTGGGATTATAGGCATATGTCACCACACCCAGCTACTTCAAGCTTTTTTTTTTTTCTTTTTTTTTTTTTTTAGACAGG